TCTGAACTCTAAAGTGAGGATAGTCCAAGCCATTGTATTCCCCATCACCATGTACGGATGTGAGAGTAGGACACTGAAGAAAGCCGGTAGAAGGAAAATCAAGTCATTTGAGATGTGCTGCTGGAGAGGAGTGCTGAAGATACCACAGATAGCCTAAAAGATAGCCAAAAATGGGTCGTTGAACAGATCAAGCCTGAATTCTCCTTGGAAGCAAGAATGACTAAGTTGATATATTGGTCTATGACTGTAAATAAATGATGCTGATGCTAAGTTGAGGCTGTCATACGTTGGCCACAGCACAAGAAGGCTTGGATCATTAGAAAAGACAATGATGCTGGGAAAAGTAGAGGGCAGTAGAAAGAGAGGATGATCACATGCCAGATGGATAGACTCATTCAGGGTAAACCATGGTTCTGAGCTTACAGGACCTGAGCAAGACAGTTGAGAACAGAAAATCTTGGAGATCTCTCATCAACAGGGTTGCCATGAGTCAAAGTCAACTCGAGGACACCTAACAACAACAAACTACTTTTCCACTTTGAATTCATTTTGCAGCTGCTGAAGAAAGTCACTGAGTGCCAAATAACATGTGGACTTTGAACTCAGTTTGCTGCAGTGGAAGTAAGCTGAGGACAAAGGGGGGGAAAGTGGGAGGAGGAGAGAGAAAGCAGGACATGTTAAAAGCAGTTGAAAAAGTGAGACGACGGAGGATTCATTGGGACTGCCCATCTCCCAGCATCCGCCAACTAGTGAGACCATGTTGGCTGGAGATCCTGGGAGCTGCAACCTGAAAGGGCTATGCCCGGTTCTAGGGTGCTGTGAAAGAAAAAAAGGGAAATGGAAAGAGCTTCTTCCTCATGAACCGCACCCTTCTTATTTCCAAAGATGTCTTTCATTTTCACTAGCTGGAGAAGACAACAAGAAAGGCACTCCGCCCTGGCTGCACTGCTACAGGCTAAGGCTGTTTCAAGGAAAAAGCCTTCATTGTCTTCCACAAATGTCAGCTGTGGGGAGGTGCCGCCAAAGGGAGCCCTCGGGCCATGTGGCTGGATGGGCAAGCGCCACTAAAGCAGGCGGGCGGTGGAACGCCACACGAAGGAATGCAGCCAGGCCCAGGCCGGCAGCAAGTTGGTCTTGTGAGAGCCGCGCTACGCCGGACGCCAGTTGGGCTCCTAACTTTGGGGCAAAATGTGAGGAATTAACTTTTAAAATGATAGCTGGTATTCTACATCAGACTTGCCAGTGTGGCATAGTGGTTTGAGTGTTGGGCTATGACTCTGGAGACCAGGGTTCGAGTTCCAGCTCAGCCATGAAACTCACCTTGGACAAGTCACATGCTCTCAGCCTCAGGGGAAGGCAACGGTAAACCTCCTCTGAACAAATCATGCCAAGAAAACCCCACAATAGGTTTGCCTTAGGGTTCGCCATAGGTCAGAAATGACTTGAAGGCACACAACAACAACAAAAACAAATTCTACATCAACTAGTTAGTTAAGGACACAGCTATACCTCCATTGACAAAATAGAATATGGTTGCCACCACACTACAGTATCAATGCTGTCATGGCTCTATCCTATGGAAGTCTGGGATTTGTACTTTGTTGTGGCACCAGAGGTCTCTGACAGAGAAAGCTAAATAGCTCACAAAACTACAAATCTCAGAATTCCCTAGCATACAGCCACAGCAGTTAAAGCTGTGTCAAACTGCATTCATTCTGCAATGTAGATGTAGCCTATGTTCTTGGGCCTCATGTCTTTAATTGACAGTTTGGTAACAAAGGCAGAAGTAACATGGAAAGTGTAGGGATGGATTCTTCCACCACAAGAAGTAATTGCAGTTCAGCATGTTTCAGCAAGGATTTTTTTTTTTTATTGGAAACTAACAATACGCACATGTCAAAAGAGACAACCTGGGGTGTATCCACACTGCAGAAGTAGGGAGGAGGAGGTTGAAATAAGATGTGACTTTCTTGTCCTCCTTTCCAAGGGAAACAACTCATTATAGATTGTGAAGGATGGCTTCCATGTACGTGGAGAGGAGAATCCAGTCCACAATTTTAGACTGAACCTGAAAGGAGCTCTCCACAGTGCTGAACTCAAATAGATTCTGCAATCTGGACAGCTAAGTGAAAATCTGGATTAAGACCCAAAGTGGATTCATTGCCCAACTGACATAGTTGCCACTAATACCCACTAGTGACTTTCTTTGAGACCTTGGAGAGAGGAACTAGTGGGACAGGATGACAAGTCCTGAGCTCATTATAGGGAACAGCTATGCTGGCTGGCGGATTCTGGTATGTCTAGTCTGAAAAAGTATGGTAATAGCTGAGATTCTATATGTCAGAAAAATGCAAGAATACAACAAAATCCTGTTAGTGCATTATGAAGATATATGTCTGGGCACTGGCAAGAGTGTTCCTATGTGTATATGGGTGCTTCTGAAGTTCTTGATGCACATGAGATACTTCTGATGTGTATTGGGCACTTCAGATGTGTATCAGGCATTTTGGATGTCCATTGGACACATCTGATGTGCACTGGACACTTCTGATGCACATCAGGCACTTCTAATGTAAACTGGGCACTTCGAGTGCACATTGGGCACTCCTGCTGTATTTTGGTACTTCCTAGACAGTGTCTTGATGTGCATCAAGAATTCCCCAGTGTGGTTCAATACCCATTGCACATTACATCTGAGAAAACAGACCTATTCCATGAAAGCTTATGCTACAACTTCTTTCCCTCATTTAGTCTCAGAGGTGGTACAAGATCCCTTTGCATTGCGCACTGGGACCATGATCCATCACTCACTCCATTGGCTTCTATTGCACAATGGATGCCTGTACATTGTTACATAACAGCAGTCTCTAGGTGAACAGAGACATTGCAAGATGACTCAGTTCTACGTCCCATACACTTATGTGCCTTGTGTGTGTTGTGTGGCATCGAGTCATTTCCGATTTGTGGTGACCCTAAGGCACCTATTTGTTCAGAGGAGGATTGCCATTGCATTCCTCTGAGGCTGAGAGCATGTGATTTTCCCAAATGGGTTTCATGGCTGAGTGGGGAATTGAACCCTGGTCTCCAGAGTGGTAGTCTAACATTCAAATCACTACACTGGGTCTCACAAAAGCTGTGCTTAGAAATTTTGTTGGACAGCATGTGATGTGCAGATATTGCTGAAGCTCAGCACCTTTCAGATCAAGACCCCAGGAGAGGCACTTGTTGGCTAGTCAAAGACTTGTTTGCTGTTATGGGCCTTCAGTTTGTCCTTGGCTGGTGGCACGCTTATCATAGGGTTTTCTAGGCAAGATTTCTTCAGAGGAAATTACCATGGCCTTCTTCCATAAAATTACGACACTTGAAGTTTACAAGGCACATTCCCAGTCAGTTGCCTCTGAGCTTCCCACAATCAGCTGTAGAGAAATTGAGGGTGCTGTTAACAAAATCCCCTCCTGTGTGTTGTTTTTCCTCCCCCTCTCACTTACATGTCAATGGCAGGTCTGCTTCCTGCCATTTGAAGTCTGCCAGGCATCATTGATAGAGACTGGTACCAAGAGTTATTGGGCATTCTGCCCAGCTGCTGCAAGTAGGTGACACCTGGAAAGTGTGAAAGCCCCTCTTAGAAAGTTGGCCAGGAAGTCTAAAAA